GAACCACTTACATATATCTTACTAAAAACAATGTACTACCAATTCTGAATGTACCACCCAAACTGAATATATCACCCTTTGCTTGGTCGCCAGCTTGCTTGCTGTGACTCCCTCCACCTGACACCAGTAGAAGGTGGGTGGAGGGGAACTAGGAGTGGAAAGAGACAGATATTTTGTGGGAAAAATATCTTACTTTTGCAAATTTTACTAAAATATATAATCATGGACACATTGCTAAGACCCCTTTCAGGTACCTGCAGGGACATTTTCAAATGAGGAGGGCTGAAGCTTAAGCTTTCTGATGAGTTTTATGGTAAACTCAACTCTGTCAAATAAGTGCTATTTCTGAAATGATAGAAACCTGATATGGTAGCTTCTAACCATATAGAGCTGTTGAATACTTGAGATGTGGTGAGTCCAACTAAGGAATTGAATCTTTAATTTCATGTACTTTAAATTATTCTCAATTTAAACAGATACTTGTAGTTTATGGTTAATGTGTTGGACAATATATATCTAATTCATTAATATATTTATGTAAAATTAAGGCTAATTTAATTCTATTGAAGGTCTTATGTATTATAGCATATTCTGCTTAACTTTGGATGTCATTTAAGCATTAAACTCTCAATTGTGGCCTAATTGTATACTATATATGATTCATGTATTGCCTACTGGGTAAGTAAGCAATTTTCATAATTATGGACAAATAGTATACTGGCAGACCTATGCATATTAAACTGAAAAAATACTTTTAAAGTGGTTCTTCTGGTTGGGATTTAAAAAATATGATTATTAGAACCAATTATATTTAAAAACCTACATTATGGGCTAAAATATGTGTTTTCAAAGCAGGGGTTAAAACTTTTTACATGAAGTACTTTCATTTTTCTCTTAGGAAATTTAATAAGGCATCTCCAAAGACAGAGGGAAAGTGGATTATTTGGTTGACATGCTTAATATTTTATTTCACTGCTTAGTTTGCTAATCCTAGTGGTTCAAACCAGATTTCAAAATCTGGGCTAAATCTCTATCATGCTATAACATGGCATGTAACAGAAACTCCTGAATATTCAATTGGTAGAAAAGGAGAAAGCATGCATATTGTTTAGTACAATTGTGTGAACTGCTATGAGATATAATTACATACAATTTTCTGAAAGACTGTGTATTTTATTCATTGTATGCCTAGCACAGGAAAGAAATTTTTCATTATTGTTAATGCAGTGAATAGGTGACCTTTCAAGCCTCACATATATAGTTTTAATATTTACTTTAATAGAATAACTGATGATTTTCTGTTTACGTGCTGTTGCGTTTATTTGCACAGTTGGGTGTTAACAGAAATTTGGAATAGATGTTCTCTGTGCATCTACATGTAATAATTATAATTAATGTTTAGAATGACTAACTTTTAAAAATTGAGATAATATTTACATAATATAACAAACCATTTTAAAGTGTACAATTCAGGAAATTTATGCAAAATCTCTTTTCAGAAATTTAGGACTCATGATATGTTTTATTTTCAGATTTCAAAATTTTGTTTTTTCCTGCATTTTTTTGTTTAAAACTTGTGAAACCTGTATATGTTTAAACATTAAAAATGGTGCGGCTCACGCCTGTAATCCCAGCACTTTGCAAGGCCGCGGTGGGCGGATCACGAGGTCAAGAGATTGAGACTATCCTGGCCAACATGGTGAAACCCCGTCTCTACTAAAAGTACAAAAAAATTAGCTGGGCATGGTGGCGCACGCCTGTAGTCCCAGCTACTCGGGAGGCTGAGGTAGGAGAATTGTTTGAACCTGGGAGGTGGAGGTTGAGTGAGCCGAGGTCGCTCCACTGCACTCCAGCCTGACGACAAATCGAAAAACTGTCTCAAAAAAAAAAAAAAAAAAAAAAAAAAAAAAAAAAAAAAAAAAAAAAAAAAAAAAAAAAAAAAGAAAAAAAATTAAAAACATTTAATTATCACTTGGTAGTAATTTGTAAAATCCTAAGTAGAATTGTATGTTGTTATGTAAAATTTCTTTAAAATTGAGAATTTTAATCCTAGATTGCTTCCTGATAGATTGGTCACTGCATTTTATTCTCAGGTGCGTAATTTTTTTCTGTAGGCTGTGGTTGTGTCATATATACTAGTTGTAATTTGGCTTTTCAAAATATCAAATGCCAACTATATGTAAAAGAAATAAATTTTTATGACTATGAAATTCAGTTCAATTGTCAAAATGTACAAAAGCCCCAAATGTCTTCTTTTAGCCTATTTTGTTGACTTTGGTGATTTGTCAACCTGAAGGTAATAGACAATATTAGTTTTCAATTGCTGTGTAATAAGCCTCAAACTTGGCGGCTTATAAAAACATAAGCTAATTGTCTCAGACTTTTTGTAGGCCAAAAGTCTGGACATAGCTGGATCTTGTGCTCAAGTTCTTATATGCTAAAGTCCAGGTCTTCCCTGGGCTACAGTCTCATCTGGGGTCTCACAGGATCCTCTTTCAGCTTCATGTGGTTGTTTGCATAATCCAGTTCTTTGGGGCTGTGTGATTGAAGCTCACATTTTCTTGCTAGCTCTTGTTTGGAGACCGCTCTCAGTCTCTAGAGGTCCCCTTCTGTAAGTCCTGGCTACATGGCTCCTGCATAAGGCCCCCTTTTTTCAGAGAAGCAGGAAAAGCTCTCTTATGCTTTGAGGCTTATCTTTCAAGAGGACCCAGTCTCTTTTAAGGACTCCCAGAATCATCTCTGTTTTGACAAATTCAAACTTTGGGACCTTAACAACATTAATAAAATATTTTCATCCTTGTCATATAATATAACATCATACTGGGAGTGAAATCTATCATGTTTAAAGTCCTACCCACCCCCAAGGGTAAGGGAATCTTCAGAGTGTGTGCACCAGTGGGCAAGAATCTGGGATGCCACCTTAGAATTTTGCCTATCATAGGAAGCTATGGGAAAATTTGAAAATGCATTTTTAAAAAATTATTAGACTGTATTTTTTTAGTGCGTTTTATATTTGTGCAGCGAGTTCCCATATAAACCCCTTTTTCCTGCACACAGTTTCACCTATTATGATAGTCTTACATTAATGTGCACTTGTTAAAACTGATGAACTAATATTGATACAATATTATTAACTAAAGTCTATACTGTACATTAGGGTTCATTATTTGTGTTGTATAGCTCTATGGATTTTGACAAATGCATGTCATAAATCCACCATTGCAGTATCGTACAGAATAGTTTTACTTCCCTAAAAATCCCATGCTCCACCTGTATTCATCCCTACCTTTCTCCTGCCCCTCACTCCCACTACTGATCTTTTTACTGTTTCTACAATTTTGTCTTTTTTAGAATGTCACTTAATTACAGTTTTTCATACTGGCTTCTTTCAGCAGTATGCTGGCTAATACTCTTTCATGTCTTTCCACAATATTATAGGTTATGATTTTTTAAATCACTCACTAATATTTGATTGCATAGATGTACCCTAGTTTGTTGATTCAGGAAGCCACCCTCTGGGTCTCTTTGATGCTTGCTGGGAAATTGCCTGCAGAGGTGACATTGAAATTCACTTGGAATCTTCCTGCAGGGGAACAGAAGGAAAGGGCTTCTCTTTCTGGTTTCAGTGTTCTTTATTCTCTTCTTGCTTCTGTGGTATGTGGTGGAAGTAAGCCAACGCCTGAGGAGGGTCCAAGTTCAGTGCAGAGATTCTCATGGGCGTGTTATTGAAATGGGAAACTGCTGGTTGGAACATCTTGAGACTTGCCAGGAAACCACTTGGGATGCTGGTGGAACTGGCTGGGAAGTTGCTTATGTAGGTACTGCTGCAACTTGCTGGGATGCGAGTACCAGTGGGTGTCTTTAAGTTGCTGATGGCCATAGGAAAAACGAGAGAACAAAGCATGTTGGAACCAGAAAGAGAAGCTCCTTCCTCCTACAGCGTCCCCTTTAGCAGCCTCTAATAACAAAACTTAATGTTACAGCAGCTGGCAAAGAAAAGATAACAGGGCCCAGCTCCCATATAACAAAGCAGTACAGTGAAGGGTAAATTTGGAGCTGACAGGCAAGAGGTTGATAATTGACACACTTCCTGTTTCAACTTTGCTGACAATTTTTTTTTTTTCTTAAATCAGGATTGAATGTTTGATTATTACCACATGCTTTTCTGTAACCATTGATGTGGTTATATAGTTTTGTTTTGTTTTTTAATGTTAATATGGTAAATGACATTAACTGGATTTTTGGATGCTAAGCCCATCTCACATTCCTGGATAAGCCAAACCTCATCATGATGTGTTTTTTTTTTTTCCATATTACTGAGTTTGATTTGGTAATATTTTGTTAAAGATCTTGGTTTTTTGGATGGAGTCTTGCTCTGTTGCCAGGTTGGATGCTATCGTGGCTCACTGCAATCTCTGCCTCCCGGGTTCAGGTGATTCTCCTGCCTCAGCCTCCCGAGTGGGTAGGACTACTGGTGAGAGCCACTATACTCAGTTAATTTTTGGATTTTTTATTAGAGATGGGGTTTTACCATGTTGGCAGGGATGGTCTCGATCTCTTGACCTTGTGATCCACCCACCTCAGCCTCCCAAACTGCTGGGATTAAAGGCGTGAGCCACCATGCCCGGCCTGTTAAAGATCTTTATGTCTATATTCATGAGATATATTGGTCTTCCTTTTTTTTCTTTTTTGTAATCTCTATCTGGATTTGGAAGTTTGGTGACTTTTTAAATAGGGCTGGGAAGTATTTCTTCTTTTTTGTATTTTCTGAAAAAGTTTGTATAGGGTTTAATTCTTAAATATTTGATAGAATTGATCAGTGAACCCATCTGGTCTTGAAATTTTCCTTTTGAGAAGATTGCTAATTATGAATTAATTTTTTTTCACAGGTTGTAAAATGTGTATTAAATTTCATGGGTATGCACAGTGGAAAAGGCATCCTCACAGAGACAAGACTTCCAACCCAGTGACAATGGCAGTGAGCCACCCCAATCTAGTTTTCAGCCATCTGAGATGAGTGGCTGGCTGTTGCCCCTGGACTAAGATTTCCTCCTCTTTGCTGCTGGTGGTGGTGGGGGGGTGCATGGCTGGAACTGACAGGAGACACAGTGGGAGACTAAGGGCCCTTAGGGGTGCCATTTTGTTTCTGGAAGGCAGCTTTCTTGAAAGGCTGCTCTGACAACTGCTGTTTCTCAACCCCTTTGGCCCTTCCAAAGGGCTGATGATGGCCCTTAGGCTTAAGGGTGGCCCAGGTCTTTGATGGGAATAGCACAGCCAGTGTTTCTGTGTTCGTGCCCTTGGGAGGCGCATTGTGTTGAGGAAGGCAACTTTCTTGGAGGACTGTAATTTAGGTGATCGTTGCTTTAGCTTCCCAGTCACCTTTTTGCTCCCTGATCCCTTTGGCTTTTCCAGCTGTCTGACTGCAATTTTTGAGCCTGGAGGAAGCGTGGGTCTTTGTGACAGAAGGTATAGTGGACAGCTCTGAGTCTGCCCCTTTGGAGATGCCATTCAGCTTTTGGAAGGAGGCCTTCTTGGGATGTTGCTGTTTCTGCAGCTGCTGCTTTGCCTTTGCAGCCCCTTTGGCCTTCTTGGCTGGCTGGCTGCTGTTCTCAGACTTGGGGTGACCTGAGGCAAGTCTACATTTGTAGGTGTGGCTGTTTCAGAATTTCTGGGACTGGGCGATAGAACTGGAGAATTTCTTGAACTTGGCAATAAAGAAACCATCCATATTGTGGATATGAGGGTAGAAGCGTCAGGTAGAACGCAGACTGGGGTGGAAGCGCCTTTCTGAAAAGCGGGTAAAACTTTCCTGGCCAAAGTCTAGGCCTGTGGGCAACAGTCGCAGATTCTGCTTTTTCAGAGCATAGTCTACCACCCACTCATTCTCTTCCACCATGATAGAACAGGTGCAGTAAACTAGGTAGCCTCCTGTCTTGGAGGTGGCATTGACAGTCGGTCGCACACAGGAGCAACTCCTAGAGGTGAGCACTCATCCTTGTTAGCCTTCACAGCTGGGTCCTTGGAGATGACCCCAGTGCCACTGCAGGGAGCATCCAGCAGTAGCCCCACACCACCTTGGGGAACTGGTGCCCCTCATAGTGGCTGATAACGGTGTTGGTAACTCCCAGCTGGGGCAAGTTGCCCACAACACTCTTGAGCAGCTCAGCATTGGCGTCATTGGCAAGGATCACACCTGTGTTCTTCCCCAGCTGGGCCATGTAGCTGATTTTTCCTCCAGGGGCAGAACACATGTCCAGGATCCGCTCATGTTCCTGCGGTGCCAAGGCCATGACGGGCAACATGCTGGAGAATCCCTTAGTGCCCAGCCAGGTACTCGAAGGTAGCACCAATGGGCACAGAAGAATCATATACCACTAGTCGAGTCTTTGACCACTTGCCCAGGGGATCCATGTTAACCCTACGATTGATTGGAGCCTGGGCAAGCTCTTGGCGTTGGGATTTCAAGGTGTTGGTCTGGAGGGTGACGGGCCGAGGTACCTCATTAGCTTCTAAGAACTCCACCAGCTCAAACAGAGGAAACAGGTCCATGAAAGAGGTCCATGAGCTTGCCAAGCAGAAAGTCTTCATAGGAGTAGTAAGTGGCCAGATCCTTCTTGAGACAGTTCAGTTATTCAGAACGAGACCGCCCTTCCTCCTGCTGAGCCCCCAAATCACGCAGGAATCCTCACAATATCCTGGATTCACTTGTGAACTCCTTGTGGGTCTGGAGCCTGGGCATTCTGCTCCATCTCCCCAGCAGGGGGCAGCACAAATGCCTCCTCATCCACATTGATCTGCAGGCCCTCATCTGCCTCCTCCTCCTTTGGGGGGCCTGACTCAGGGGTCACTTCTTCCTCTTCCTCTTCGGCCTCCATCTCCTCTTCACTCCACTGAACCCCAGCAGAAGCTTCCCGGGCCTTCTGCTTACGAGCAGCTTTTTCAATGGGCAGCACTCTTCACCTTCCTCGTCACATTCTCAGAGTTGGAGTCAGTTCTATAGTCATTTACCGTATCAGCATCACTGTCCTCGGGGCCCCGGAGGTCCCCGTGGTTCACCACACCATCTTCTTCAGAGTCTTCCTCCTCCTCTTAGCAGCATTAAATAGGGACTGGGTTCCCTTCTTACCAGCTGTCTGGACAGTTCCTGCAGAGATCCCTTTCGGGAGCTTTCCAGGCAAGGGCTTGGCCACAGGAGACTTCCTTGTCTCAGGGGCTTCCGCAGAGCCCAAGTCCTATTGATTGCTCTCTTTCGAGCACGACTAGACAGCCTCTTGGAATTTTCATCACTTACTGCAGGCGAAAATCTGGCGAGTTCCTTTCGGCACCCTTCTGCTTCTGGCCTTTCGGCCTTGCCCCCGCTTCTCCTTCTTTGTAGGGTCCAACTTGCGCCCCATGGTACAGAACAGGGATTACGGCCTGAGACTGCACTTCGGGCGGCGCTCCACGTGCACTCCGGGGCTAGCTTTTGGCCCGCATTCGCCAAAGAATCGTTCCACGCAGGCGCACGGGTAGAGTTAAATTTTTGAGATTGATAAGGGGTTTGAGTCAGTTTTGTAATTTGCGTCTTTTAAGCAGTTGATTCATTTAATTTATGCAAGTTATTGGCATAAAATTGTTGATAATATTCCTCTATTGTTTTGATGTCTGAAGTATTTGGAGAAAATATTTTTATTTCTGATATTTGTAATTTGTATCTTTTCTACTTTAATCCGATGGTCATTCTAGTATTTATCATTTAAAAATGTTTTTCAAAAAGCAGCTTTGGGTTTGTTTTTTATTTCGTTGATTATTTACTTGTTATTATTTCTCCCTTTCTATGTACTTTGATTTTAATTTGCTTTTTTCCTAACTTGTAAAGGTAGAAGTTTATTTTTATTTATTTTTACTACAAAATTTCATCTAAAACAGTGGCTCCCAAATTTTGTTGCAAATTGAAATATTCTGGGGAATCCTTAAAAATGAATAATTCTGTCTCCCAACCCCAGATATTTTTATTTAGTTGATTAAATTGATAGGGGGTACAATGGGATTTTAAAAAAACTTCCCATATGAATTTTAGTGTGCAGCACATTTGGGGAAACACTGTTCTGAGCAGTATTTTAGCTTTTTCCCCACCAATTTTTATATATTGTGTTTTGATTTTTATTCAAGATGTCTTAAAATTTCCCTTGTGATTTCTTTTTTCCATTGGTTATTTAGAATTATATTGTTTGACTTCCAGATATATCAAGACTTCTTCCTTAATTGATTTCTATTTTAATTCCTTTGTGATCAAACAAAGTACTCTGAGTGATTTCAGTCAATTTTTTTTTTAAGGCCTGGAATGTGCCCGGTTTTGTTAATTTTTAAATGTGTGTTAGCAAATCGTGTGTATTCTGCTATTGCTGGGTGAGTGTTCTGTAAATATCAAATAGGTCAACTTGTTAAAGGTACCACTCAACTATTTTATATCCTTACTGTTTCTGGTCTCTTTGTTTTGTCAGTTACTGAGAGAGTAGTGTTGAAATCAACTATTATTATAGGTTTGTTTTTTTCTCCTTTCAGTTCTAATTTTTGCTTCACGTGTTTTGAAACTCCATTATTAGGTGCATAAATATTTAGAATTCTTATGTCTTCTTTTTAATAAATTGTCATTTTATAGTTCACTACTGCAGTTGCCTCCTACCCTTCCATTCGATGACCACTTTTGCAGGCTTCAGGGGGACCAGGAACAAAGTTGGGGCCTAGCACCCCCACTATTCTGCCAGCTGGGGAGAACAAGTCACACTTACAAATTATCACAACAATTAGCACCTGTACTTTGGAGATCTGCGAAGTGAGAAGGCCCCAGTTCACTTTTTACTGTGGAAACAACGATATTCCTTCAGCCTGAGGGAATTAGTGTTGATGAAACCGGTGCCATCAATTGGCTCATAATTGCCCTGCACGTTGATGCGCACGAGATCCCCCTTGTAGAGAGATGGTAGCAACTCCTGGCTGATGATGTACGGCCCTTGAAGCTGGGCACCTGCACACGTTCCCTTCCATTTGCTCCTGGGACTTGGTGGTGTAATGATGGACAAATTTACACTCAGGGTTGATTTTGTGCACTTCCTGATCCATGGTGAAGGCCTCAATGTCTTAAATGAGTGCGGTAAAGGCTGGTGCCTGCTGGGGTCTTGTAGATGCCTTTGGACTTTATTCCAATGAAGCAGTTCTCCATAATGTCAATACAGCCCACGCCGTGCTTCCCTGTGACTTCGTTCAGGTACGCAAAAATCTCCAAGGAGGTCTGGTGGGGTGGTGCCATCCTGATGGTCACTTTCACAGGGACTCCTTTTTTTGAGCTTGATCTAGAGAATTTCAGGTGCGTTGTGGGCTTTGCCTGGGTCCTTGGTATATTGATAATAACATCTTTGCCTTTATTTTATGTTCATTTTTGAAACATATTTGATCTGGCTGTGTGATTTTAGTTTCACAATTTTTTTCTTACAGCACTCTAAGAACGTCATTTCATTTCCTTCCAGCTTGCATAGTTTCTGACAAGACTTATGTGTTATTGTTATGTTTGCTCCTATGTAGATAATGTGCCTTTTTTTTTCTGGCTACTTTTAAGATTTTCTCTTTATTACTTTTTTTTAATAGCAATTTGATTATAACATGTCTTGTCATGGATTTTCTTTATTCTGACTGGGCTTTGTTGAACTTCTTGGATTTGCAGGCTGGTAGTGTTTATTCAAAAAAATTAGGGGCATGTTTTTTTTTAAATATTTTCTTGACCACTTTCCTCTCATTTTAGTACTTGAATACAAAAATGTTAGATTATTTGTTGTCCTTACATATTATCAAGACTATTCATTTTAAAATGTTTTCTTCCTTTGTACTTGGTTTAAAATAATTTATATTGCTATGTTTTCAACTTCACTGATATTTTGTAGTGAAGTTGTAGTGTTTTGTCTGCTGATCATGTCATCCAGCAAAATTTTCCTATCAAAAATGTTTAAAAATATTTAGACAATTTGGTTCTTCTTAAGAACCAAATGTTCTAATATGTTCTGTTTGTCTTCTAATTATGTTCATATTTCCTTTAAGTCTTTAATCTTATTGAACTTATTTTAATAGCTGGGTTAAGGCCTTTTTATGTTAATTTTGTTATCTTTGTTAATTCTGGACCTGTTTTTATTGACTGATTTTTCTCCTAGTTCTGGGTAACATTTCCCTGCCTTTTATTTGCCTGTCTTTATTTATTTATTTTTTAACTATTAGGCATGAATATTAGTATTTACATTGTTCAGCTGAATTTGAACACTGTAAATACTAATTTACATTGGCTTTTCTTTTTGGTTACTAATGTAATACTAATTACATTTTTCTTTTAAATGGTCTCTCTACCACCCTCCACTTTTTTGGTAGGCATTTAAATTATTTGCAGATCAGTCTGATCATATCAAGGCTTATTTTTATGCTTTTCAAGGATACTCTACGGTATTCTTTAGAGCTAGTTTAGACTCACTACTATGGCATGAGCTTTCTGGAGCCTCTGCAGACTACTCTGGGTATTCAACAACAAGGTCTCTTCATTCTTGGAATTTTTCACTTTATAGCCCCCCTGAAATTGATCTTTTCCTGCTAGCTATTTTTTACTTGGCTGCTTGGGGTTTCACCATATACAGCACGGATTCCTGTTCAAAGCCTCCTGAGTGTTCTTATGCCAATCTCTGCATAGCATTTTCTTTGTCTGTAATATGTCGCACAGATTACAGCCATCCCGGCCTCTTCAAACTCTGATCTGTATCTCAACTTATTTGGACCATGAAGCTCTTTTTGATTTCCCTATTCTTATACCACAGTTTGGACTTTGCGTCTAGGTTGGAAGAGAGGCAGTCTTAGATATCACCTGATTTGTTGCCCTTCTGTTAATAATCACGGGCCTCTTCTGCCTTTTGTCCACTATCTGAAATAGCTTTATATATTTTGCTCGCTTTTTTAGTTATGTATAGGATTTTGAGGGCAATCCTGTAGAAGCTCAGCATAATTATTTGTTCCATTTAAATTTAATGTAATGAATGTAATTATTCTAGACCTGAATATTGAATCTGGTTACTTTTAGAAACAAGCTTTATGTTACAGTATGTATTTTCAATAATTTCAAATAATTCTTTGTATGGAGACCATAAGATTATTTAAGCAAGGTTATACTGATGTCTTAAAAAAAACTCTCAAGTTTTTCATAAGATACCCTGTAGGTCATTTAATTTTGCATGCATGTATGTGTAAGTTGGCGATGTGCATGTACAGCTTCTTTTAAAAATGGATTGGGACCTAACAATAAAAACATGCAGTTGTAATGGTTCTTACTGTAGTGCATGTTGAATTATGAGAGTTACTCATGGTTATATGTTACCCATGGGAACTTTTAGTGTGCTTGGTTATATAGATCTGCACATTTTTAGCTATAGGCTGATAACTATATTGAATCATAAATTTATTACTCAAGCAGTGTTTTCTAGGTGGACGTTAAATTTTAAGAGAATTAAGGGTAGGAATTAACTTTTATTAAATGCCTTCTTCAACTTTAAATGAATGTCTTAAATGTAAATATTACTAATTTGTGTAATTAATACACAGAAGCATTTAATTATTAGTTTAGAACAAAAATTAATTACAACATTTCTTAAGAATACTAGAGGAAACAGGGAAAATATAAGTGAAAACAATTTAACTGACAGAAGCTTGTCAGCACTTAGCAACATTTATTTTCAATTACAAATGGTACTTTTTTTTTTAGCACCATTTTTATGCTAGCTTTGCATCGATATATCATCTAGACAGAAAGTGCTGATGCAGGTTTTCCAGTGCTAGCCTGCAAAGGAATTGAAGGTGAATGTGGTTTTAGTTACATCTCCTGCTTCCTCTACATCTGTGCTTTGTGTTTTATTAGACTGTTTAAAATACGTTGTTGTCAAATATGTAAGTGTCAGGCTTACTGACCATTTATGTGCTTTAGTTTAAAAAAAAATACTACATACAACATGGTTCATTTATCAGCTGTTTTTTCTAGGACTGTCTGTAAATTTGAGAGTGTTTACTGGTAGATACACGAGAAGTTAGTATCTCCAAGTTTTTCAGTCATGTTGGTTTACTGCCATGTGAAATATATTACTGAGCTTTCATATGAAAAAGATAAAACACACTGTGGTCTTGTCCATTGTGCATTTCAGTTACAGGAACAAAATGATATGCTTGCAGTTCTGTGACATGAGGCATTAGAAAAATCTTTGTTATATAGATTGTGTGACTCAGAGTTGTGTGTGTGTTTATGTATGACTCTTGCAGAATAAAGTTGTATTTATGTGTACCCATAGTGATATTTCTGTGTCTGTATGAACATAGTGATTCAGTAGATTAGATCATGAGCATTCTTTACATTTGTCTATAGTAATTAAGTCTCTCACTGAATATGAACCAGGTACTGGCCAAGCTGTTTTACAATAAATATTATACTTATTACTTGTTTCAATGGCTAGTATATATAGTCAGAAGTGTTGCAGTTTGGTCACTTCTTGGAAAATCTTAAATACGCTTCTTATGGGGAACTTACCATGTTTATACACGTGTGTTGTTGTCTTCTTTTTTTTTGTTTTAGATAAGTGCTGTTGCTTAGCATTTAAGTGCTATTGCTTAGCATTTAAAGTAGAATGTTTTATTTTTATAAGTTAATATTTAGTTCTGTGAGCTAGAGCATGCTATTTAATTTTCCCATGCCTGAGTTATGTCATCTCTGAAATTGGAATAAAATAGTTCCAGCTTCATAGGATTGTGTTGAAGATTAAATGATTTAACATATGAAGCACTCCGAACAATTATTGAACCCAAGCAAATTTTCAGTGAGTAGTAGTTATTATCATTAGTCAATTTAAGAATCAACCAGTAATCTTTCTTTTTTCTTTTTTATGTCTATATATATATATATATATATACATTTCATAAAATTCACTCATACTAAGTATAGAATTGATATATGGTGAATTTATAAGGTTGTACAGCTATCACTATAATCCAATTTTGGAATATTTTAATCACAACATTTTAGGCATTTGAGTATGAAGTTATAATTTTTAGTGCATTGTTTCAAATATGCTATTTTTAAACTATAATGTATGGGCTTATTTGTTAAGATGACGTAGTTGGAGTTTTCTGTTCCTAAATTTTTAGCTGATCTCTGTGTTGGGGGCACCTGTATACTTGGGAACAGTAAAAGCAGAGAAAGAGAGTTCAGAGATAACAGATAAACTCTTTAAATTTGAGTATTTCCATTTCTTGAGACCTTTGAAATTTTTGTAAAAGTATGCCATTGCACATTGTCTAGTAAGTAACTAAAGATGAGCCATGTAAGCACATGTGAAACTCACTATAGTTGGTAAAAGGAGTTTCACAGACTTGTAATGTCTTAGCTCAGAAAGATAACTGATTATATATTACCAGAAATCTTGGTTACATTTGTACTATATTTAATTTCTAGAACTGTAGTTCTAGCAATCTATACCTGGTATAGTTTTTATTTTTCTGAAAGTAACAGATGCAAGGTGAAGTAGGAATTAAGGAACTTCTTTAGACACATCTTTTGGGTTGCATTTTGGAGTTCAGACACCAGAAGTGATTCTGAAATTTTTGTATTGACTGCTGACAGACATTATGTACCAAGAACTCCCATTACTGTAGGTCACTGAATTAATTTAAGAAATACCAATTGACATCATTCCTTTAGGGAATTGTGGGCTACTGCTTGATATTATTGTCTTTGACAAATGTGCAAATTTAGAATAAATTTTATTTTTAGTGTGTTGGGATCCTAAGAATGAATTGAGTCCTTTCCAAATTTAAATGTTTTCAAATGGATAAAAAGTATAGTTCATAGATTTTCTTTCTACCTCTTTTCACTGAAATAGTTAAGTGCTTGAGTTTTCCATGAACTGGTGTATGTAGTTGCTTATTCCTAAATGGAAAAAGAGTTCCAGAAAGCATTTAAAAGTCTTGAGAGCTGTGCTCAGAAGTCATTGTGATTTGTGGGAAGAAGGTAGTCAAAATTGATATTCCTATGTGACTATTACATTTGAATGCATTTATATCCTGTTATTTGTAATGTGTTCTAGATGAAATCATTAGGATTTCTTTGTATGCTAGTTATCTACTCAGGTGAATTTACATCATTTGTACTCCAAAATATATGAAAAATAGATTGACTAGCATGAATTTCTGTGGCCATTTGCTTTCTAGCCGGGTAGATAAAGTACTGTGAGCTAGGGCTGTGTTAAATGTGATACACATGCCAGGCCTTCAAAAAGGATAAAACTCCCTGTGTGTTATGCTGCCGCTGTATTAGTTGATTAGTATATGTGTTTGGGGGTTGTTCCAAGTATGCCTCTTACAATTATATATTGGTTAAAAAGTAAACACTAAACCTTTCAAGAGACTTTTAAGTGGCATGGCTAATTTTGCCCCAATATTATTTTATATTTAGAATTCAAGCTATCATGTAAATCAAAGGATCTCAATTTTAACAGTATTACACAGAAAGGGATCCTCACTTCTATCCTTTTACAATCCTCTGCAGGATTCTTTACAACCTAAAGAATATTGGATTTTGTATTTGGGATGTGGCTTTCAAACTATGTAATTTGGAATAGCTGCTTAACTTTTTTCCCTGTGATTCTTCATGTGTAAAAGATAAAATAGTTGACTTAGTTATTTTATTGACCCTCTTTAAACAAAACATGTATTTTGAATACTTAGTATTCAGGGCTGCAGTGAGCCAAGATTGTGTCACTAGGTATGATTGCACCAACCTGGGTGACAAAGTGAGACCCTGTTTAAAAAAATATATGTATCTGGGCTGTATTAGTCTGTTTTTACACTGCTGTAAAGAATTACCTGAGATTGGGTAATTTATAAAGAAAAGAGGTTCAATTCACTTAGAGTTCTGCATGGCTGGAAAGGACTCAAGAAACTTACAATCATGGTGGAAGGCAAAGCGGAAGCAAGGCATGTGTTATATTGTGGCAGGAGAGAGAAAGAGTGAGGGGGAGGAACTGCCAAACAATTTTAAACCGTGAGATCTCATGAGAACTCGTTCACTATCATGAGGGCAGCATGGGAGAACTGCCCTGTGATCCAGTCACCTTCCACCAGGTCCCTTCCTTGACATGTGGGGATTACAATTTGAGATGAGATTTGGGTGGGGACACAGAGCAAAACTATATCACAGTGGTAACTTGTGCTTGTAGTCCCAGCTACCTGGGTGGTGGTAGCTTGCGTCTGTAGTCCCAGCTACCTTGGAGGCTGAGGTGGCGGGATCACCTGAGCCTGGGGTGGGGCGTCAAGGCTGCAGCGAGCCAAGTTTGCACCACTGCACTCCAGCCTAGGTGACAGAGTGAGACCCTGTCTCAGAAAAAGAAAATAAAGAGCAGTAAATAGACATAAATAAACATAATATGTTTGTGGAACTATGAAGGCAATGTGTCTGGAACCGAAAATTTCCATTGTGAAGGTATTAGGAAATAGTTTGAACATACAGATATGAATGCCACCCTGAGGATTTTAAATTTTATTTTATAGTAATTGAAGCTTTTTTTGTGTTGTTTTGAGACAGAGTCTCACTAGGTTGCCCAGGTTGGAGTGCAGTGGTGTGATCTCGGCTCACTGTAACCTCTGCCTCCTAGTAACTCAATAATTCTTCTGCCTAAGCCTCTCGAGTAGCTGGGACTACAGGTGCATGCCACTGCACCTGGCTAATTTTTGTATTTTTAGTAAAGACAGGGTTTCACCATGTTGCCTGGGCTGGTCTCGAACTCTTGACCTCAGGTGATCTGTCTGCCGCAGTTTCCCAAAGTGCTGGGGTTACATGCATGAGCCACCGCACATGGCTATAAATGGAAACTTTTAAGGTTTTTGAGCAAGTGAAGTGATAAAAACGCATCTTAATTCCAGAAAAGGATGACTCCATTTCATTATATGTGATAATCTATAGCAATGACCAAGAAAACTTGATATTAGGGACCAGGAACACAAGTTGGGTGTTTCATATAAAGTTAGTTTCAGAACAGAAGGTTTCTGCCTGGGTTTAATTTGAATATATAGGACATGTACATTGTGAAAGAATGAAGGATTGTTTTTTCCTGATTTTTGAAATGGGGTCTTGCTATGTGGTCCAGCCTGGACTGCAGTGGCAGTTCACAAGCACAATCATAGCTCACTATAGCCTTGAACTCCTGGGCTCAAGCAATCCCCCTGCCTCGGGCTCCTGAGTAAATGGGACTGGAGATACATACCCCCTGCCTGTCTTCTATTTTTTTTTAAAAACCCTGAATTTTTAACATGATAAACAGTCTCAGAATATTTTTATGGATTTTATTCACCAGTCTTGCATTTACCACTGTGTTTGGAATGTTGGCAGTGCTAAATAAATAATAGTTTAATGATCAGCCTATAGTCTTCCTAATTCTATTACTTAATAGCACCTCAAGCTTTTCCTTCCACCTGGCGTTGAATGTAGCTATGCAGTCCATGGTTTACTAGTTGAATTGCTCAGTATGACCATGACTTGCTTAACATTTTTCTCAATAAGACTTCATGAATATTTAAAGAATCTCCTGAACAGAGGCAATAGTCCACTACCAGTCAGAGCCCATATTTCCAGAGTGCTACAGAAAGTGTGATCTGTAGTGTTTCTTTGGAAAGGACATGGTAGGTGATTTTTCTCTTATTCGAAGAAGTACATTGACATTTGGAAAGGTATTAGAACTGCAGTTTTAATCCTACTTATCTATATATTATTTTAATGTGAAAATCCTTTTGCTACTACAGGAATTGTTTTTCTTTAAAGAACTGTATTCTGCCTTGTGTTATTGTTAGTTAAGCACAGGTCTATCTTACCAGAATACACTTGGGGAGGCAGAAAATTGACTTTAATTGCCTTTGCTCCCCCATAACACTTAGGATAGGTTGGCAATCAGAAAATATTTGAGTTAAAATACTGTCTTTAATGTTTATATGTAAATATTCACTAGAAAATTGTAATTGTATTTTATTTACCGATTCATCTTAACTCAGGTTATAACTTACTGGGTTGCATTTTAGATCAAGAGACTGAACTTTTGGCATATCTCAATAAGATAAACAATCTCACCACATGCTATCAAATTCTTACAAATAAAAGCAAATCTGTTCTGTTCAAAGTAAACTTACTCCCAACATTTATGGAAATATTTAAAACATCTAAACTAGAGCAAGGAAATGACAAAAAGCAAAAGAAAAAAAGCCTTTCCTTACCCAGAATATATTTGGGAAGAGATTATCAGTATAATCCTTTTTTTTCCACTTTTTTGGTATGTCTGCAAAATTATGTCTCCTCTGTTGATCATTATGGAAACAAGAAAAGTTGTAAAGTTATAAAATGATACTAATACTCTTTACTACTGAGGCATTTTGTTGTAGAGTAGAAATGAAGACATATCTAATGTCATGCATTTCCAAAGATGAGTCTATGGGGTAAGCAAGACAGGTTGAGAGTTCCTTTTTAACCTCATGCCTAAGCATTTCAAGTCACCAATATCTTCTGAATATGCCATGCAGTGTACCTACATGCAAATTTAGCATGGGGAAGGTACAGTAAAATGCATTGTTGTTCAGACTACAGAGGTAGATGGCTGATCCACAGAAAAGCCCTAAGGAGCACAGGTGAGAACATTTCAAATGGACAGTGGGGTAGGCTGAAGAAGGTCAAAAAAGTCTGAAAGGGTCAGACTGGTGGAGAAAGGGGAATATTACCAAGTAAGAGGTGTAGCAGCGGGATGTATAAAATTGGGTCCTTGGGATACAGGTGATGACATCATAGAATTTTAAGTTTGAAAAGTCCCCCATTTTTAAAGTTTTTAATATATATATATATTTATTTATTGTACTTTAGGTTCTGGGGTACATGTGCAGATCATGCAGGATTGTTGCATAGGTACATACATGGCAATGTGGTTTGCCGCTTCCATTTCGCCCATCACCTATATCTGGTATTTCTCCCAGTGTTATCCCTCTCCATCTTCCCCACCCCCTGCTGCGCCTCCCGTAGCCTCCAACAACAGACCCCAGTGTGTTATGCTCCCCTCCCTGTGTCCATGTGTTCTCATGTTCAACACCTGCCTATAAGTGAGAACATACGGTGTTTGATTTTCTGTTCTTGTGTCAGTTTGCTGAGAATGATGGTTTCCAGATTCATGGCCCTACAAAAGACACAAACTCATCGTTTTTTATGGCTACGTAGTATTTCATGGTGGGTATGTGCCATATTTTCCTTGTCTAGTCTACCATCGATGGACACTTGGGTTGGTTCCAGGTCTTTGCTATTATAAACAGTGCTGCAATAAACATACGTGTGCATGTGTTTTTATAATAGAATGATTTATAATCCTTTGGGTGTATACCCAGTGATGAGATTGCTGGGTCAAATGGAATTTCTCTTTCTAGGTCCTTGAGGAATCGCCCCACTGTCTTCCACAATGATTGAACTAATTGACACTCCCACCAACAGTGTAGAAGTGTTCCTATTTCTACACATCCTCTCCAGCGTCTGTTGTCTCCAGATTTTTTAATGATCACCATTCTGACTGGTGTGAAGTGGTATCTCAATGTGGTTTTGATTTGCATTTCTCTAATGACCAGTGATGATGAGCATTATTTCATATATTTGTTGGCCTCATATATGTCTTCTTTTGAAAAGTCTCTGCTCATATCCTTCACCCGCCTTTGAATGGGTTTGTTTGCGTTTTTTTCTTGTAAATCTGTTTTAGTTCTTTGTAGATTCTGGATATTAGCCCTTTGTCAGATGGGTAGATTGCAAAAATTTTTTCCCATTCTATTGATTGCCGGTACACTCTAATGATTGTTTCTTTTGCTGTGTGGACGCTCTTGAGTTTAATTAGATCCCATTGGTCTATTTTGGCTTCTGTTGCCAATGCTTTTGGTGTTTTAGCCTATGCCTGTCTCCTGAACGCTTTTGCCTAGGTTTTCTTCTAAGGTTTTTATGGTGTTAGGTCTTATGTAAAATAAGAATCTTTTATATGTCAAAAAAGTGAAATGATAAAGTGAATGAGAACCTAGAAAAGTATTTGCAGCATCTAACATATCACTCATGTATTAAAAACAGCCACAAAATAGTAATAAAAAGCAAATATGTTCAAAGGAAAATAGGCAAATGTTATGAACAGATAGTTCAGAAAAGGAAATGGAAAATGAATTTATTAAAGTTATTAATCTTACTTGTAAATGACATGGTATGAAATTAAATGAGACATACTTTTACATCCATCATACCAGCAACACAGTATTGATGAAGTTTCTTTAAACCTGTACTCTTACGGATATTGGAGAAAGAACAGTTTGATGGTAGGCATCAAAAAGCTTGAAAATATTTACATGTTTTTACTTGTTACTTTCAACTTTTAGAATTTTTTTCAAGAGATAGAGACTAGAGCAAAGATAAAATGATGTTCACTACTGCATTATTACAGTAATAACTGTCCAATAGTGGTAGGTTAGCTAAATAAACTACAATATTTACAAATGATGAAATATTCATGCAACCATTCAAAAATCGTGGTTTTAAAGACTATGAATATTGAAAATGCTCCTGTTACACTGTCAGACAAAACAAGTTACAAAATGATGTATAATTCTAATACCTGAAAAACATGGTACATATGTGTAGATAAAGGACTTGGGGACTGTAGAGAATATAAATATTGGAAATATGTCTATTATATGTGATTTTATTATCTTATAATAAAAATGTTTTCTGAATCTTCGTTTATGAGAAAAAGTTGTAAATTACAGAGTAGCATTGTATGTTGTTATAATAGTATTGTGTTTGT